AGGCCACCCCGTGGCGCCGGCGTGCGCAGAAGCCTGGCGCGGCGGCCAGCGCGGGCAGGGTCTTCAGCGGGTCTGCGGGACGCCCAGCCTCCTTGGGGAAGGCTCTCCCGGCAGGGGTCCACCGTTCCTGGGATGGTTACCGGAAATGAGCCGCGCGATCAGGCCCCTTCACGCCCACTTAGCTTTGCAGGGTTCGCAGTGTTTCCCGGACAAAAAGGCACCTACTAGGAGCATACCCCCGTTTCGTCCTCTCCCTCCTGCACCTCATAGTTCTCTGATCTCATACTTAGTCCCAGTAAGTGTACTCACAATCGTGCGGCACCGTGTGTGACACCGGTCCAACCTGAATTGGGTTGGAGGCGTGAGGAAGGTCAGATTCGAATCCTGTGGTTCATGTTCTAAGAAGGCAGTGGGGTAGTTCTGAGTTCTTGCCTTTATCGGTGTGTCTTGATGTTTTGGTTGTAATGGGTACTGAGCACAATCTGTAAAAAGTATTGGTTCGATTGATACATTGTAGTGTCCCAATTTATATTGACAGGGATTAGTTTCATATACTAGTTAGCAGCTGTGCTCAGTAATAAACAACAGAAATTTCTGAGGAAGACTGTTCTTCAGCATTCATAACTTGAAAGAGTAGAATTCTGGTCTTGTGAGTGAACTCTTAAAGCACTACAGCAAAACATCTATATATTATTTACTTATTTATTTGAGTAGCCTAGCAGAGACCATGATTTATGAATGGTCTCTTAATGTAAAAGTGACTTTGTCAACTACATGCATGAACACGTGGAGAGCATGCCTTGTAGGCACTTTTTAAAAAAACAGCTTTTCTGTCAGAGTTTGCCTATCATCATAGGCTTTCTTAATGTCAGGAAAACTAGTTTGTCTTATGCTCCTTTTTTTTTTTTTTTCCCAGAAAAAGAACAACAAGAAGCAATTGAACATATCGATGAAGTACAAAATGAAATAGACAGGTAAAGTTTTTCATAAGTTTTCTGAAGCACCTTTAATTTCCTGGTAGTCATTGAAACTCTGGTCAGCTAAATCTATATTCTCCAGTGAAAGGGAGCTCATTATGTCTTGGTTGGAAATACTATGTAGATTCATGTTATTTTTCCATGAAATATTTGTACAAATCACAAAAAAGTTTTGATGAAAATACTTTGACCCTGTAATGATTAGTTTTGCTTTTAAAGGCTACAAATTGTCCAAATGGTAGTGTAGTGATTTGTCTTCAGATAGTTTAGCATTATGGCATCAGTGTTGCTCTAACTTGCCTTGCAACTTTGTTACTCAATTAGTAGTTTTATTTAGAAATTCTGCTTTAGGGGAAAGTAAACTTGGAGTTTGCCTGGAAATAGTAAATGAATTAAGTATACAACCTTACCAGAATGTGGAGTTTGAGAATTGTAAGAACTGTTCCTTATTGTTGATAAAATTGCTTTCTCAGTTTTAGTCTAGAGTAAAAAATTATTGTGATTTGGTTATTGAAAGTGGGTATTGTGCAGTCCTAAGGCAAATAAGAATAAATATACATTCTGTAGTCTTCCACATTTTTGTATTTGTTAAATAACCATCATTGTCAATGTCTTTTCATTTACTTCAGACTTAATGAACAAGCCAGTGAGGAGATATTGAAAGTAGAACAGAAATATAACAAACTCCGCCAACCATTTTTTCAGAAGAGGTCAGAATTGATCGCCAAAATCCCAAATTTTTGGGTAACAACATTTGTCAACCACCCACAAGGTATGTTTTGGGTAGAGCACTATTAAAGATAATATAGGATGTTAGTTTATTAGAGTAGAAGATGCTTACTGCATGAGCAGAGTGAAATCCAGTGAATGGAGATGTCTATTTAAAATAGACTATACTCTTAGAACTCAGTTTATTACTTGATGAAAAGTAGGGACCTCACTGGCACTGAACATTTTGGCTTTCTCTTAATAGGTTTATGAAATAAAAAAATGCTCATTAGGGGATGGGGCTGTAGCTCAATGGTAGACCTCTTGCCTAGCACCTGTGAGGCTATGGGTTGGATCTTCAACACCATATAAAAGTAAATAAATAAAATAAAGGTATTGTGTCCATCTACAACAATAAATGTTTTTAAATGCTCATTAAGGGGCTGAAGTTGTGGCTTAGTGGTGGAGTGCTCATCTAGCATGCATGAGGCACTGGGCTTAATCCTCAGCACCACATACAAAAAAAATAAAGATATATGCCCACCTAAAACTAAAAAATAAGTTTAAAAATGCTCATTACGCTGGGAAAGCTTAAAAGGGATCAATTAGATATTATTAATGTTAGCCTCTTTAAAAAAACTTTAATTGGCCTATAATTTGCTGGTCTAGTGTCCGCACTGCTTGGGGAGGAAGATGAAGAGGCGCTGCATTATTTGACCAGAGTTGAAGTGACAGAATTTGAAGATATCAAATCAGGTTACAGAATAGATTTTGTAAGTATGCACAATCTTGTTTGCCACCATGGAAATTAATTTGAGCTTTATTGAACACCTGTTTATTGATTTCTCAATTCTTCATTGCAGTATTTTGATGAAAATCCTTACTTCGAAAATAAAGTTCTCTCCAAAGAATTTCATCTGAATGAGAGTGGTGATCCATCTTCAAAGTCCACTGAAATCAAATGGAAATCTGGAAAGG